TGTAAACAGACATCTCTCGCTAATGCTGTGTTGACATTGCTTACTTTCCACTCCTAAGGTCCTATTTACCAATGCTTTTAAAGCATATTTTAAAAATGTATACATGCAAATCAGGTGGTGGTAGTGCACACCTTTAATTCCAGCACTCAGGAGGCAGAGGCAGGCAGATCTCTATGAGTCTGAGGCCAGCTTGGTCTACAGAGCAAGTTCTAGGGCAACCAAAATTGCACAGAGAGACCCTGTCTTGAAAAAAGATAACAGAAAAGAACATGCAAATATGTATTTCAAGTATTTTCACCACACACTCCTACCATCCGGCCCCTCCCAGCAGAGTCCTCTATTCCTTACTGCAATCCGTATATACATTACATACACTTTAATACATACACAGCATCATACTGAGTCTAACTAGTGCCGTCCACACATGCATGGGGGCAGACTATGCACTGGGGCATGGTCACTGTATCAGGGACCACACCAGTTAAAAAACTGACACTTTTCCCCTGGCAGCCATCAACTGCCAAAAGCACCTACAACTTACCAACACCTTTCTATTTGTCAGAGGGCTAAAGGTCTCACTGAAGGTGTCTCTTACATGTGCCACCACAGTGACAAAAATGACTAATACTGTCCACCACCTGGCACATTTACTTCAAAAGATCCTCTGTGAAATTGTTCAGCTGGGCTGTGAAAGATGAATCTAACGAAAACAAAGAACCTTTGCCACCATTTGGGCAAAAATGAAACCACACAAGGAGAACACCAAAACACGAGGCTTCTTAGACCAGGAGCTCTCCTCACACCGTGTAAAGCTTTTAGCCACGGAGAGATAATTGAAGTTTCTAGTTTTGTATCAGTTTTTGTGCACGGACTCACATGACACAAACACAGTGGCAAAAGTCAACAAAACAACTCCTCGGGTCAAATTTCACAGTTTCCAGTATTTGTGTAACTTAGCACACAAACCTTTAGCATTCTCAAACATGGCAACGTCCAGAGCTCTTTCTTCAGCTGTGGCAAACAAAAGAACAGCAGCATACGCAATGTTACTGTTTCTCCACAACAGCTCCGCTCTGAGATGGGAGTAATGACAGATTGATTTTAGGCTGCTTAGCAACACACCCGGCCTCCACCCACTAGATGGCAGTAGAACATTCAGAGTGATAAAATCCCCTCCACTATCAAATGTTCTTGTTGAAAGTCTGGGTTGCTGTGTGCTTGGCTTAGGATTCGTGGAGAATGAGGTCTGCGTCCCTATTAAAGATACACACCATTCAGCAGGCTTTTCGTGGGAGCGATTTGAAAACTGTCACCACCACGCCCTTCTTCTGTACATCAGAGGTTCTTAATCTTTAGGTCACGATCCCTGGGGAATTGAACGACCCTTCCGCAGGGGTCACTTAATACCATTGGAAAACACAGATATTATATTACGATTCCTAACAGTAGCAAAATTAGTTACGAAGTAGCAACGAACATAACTTCATGGTTGTGTTTCAAGATGGAAGATCTCCACCACTGCTCCATCGCCATGCCAGCCTGCTTGCTGCCATGCTCCTGGCCTGGATGCTCATTTTGTGGATATTAACTAGCTGGAATTCTTCTGAAAAGAACAGCGGGGACACTTTCTTCTTACAGTGATTCAGTCAACTTACAAACGCTTTAAAATTAGAGATGCATAGAGCTGAAAGTGTGTGAAAGCCGGGCCTAAGCAGACAGTGTTTGCTGTCTGCTCTGGTGCCCTCCACTGCATCAGAGCCACTCTGACTCTGGGAAAGTGAATGGAGACCTGGTTCTAAGGGGTGTAGCCCAGAGACAGAGGGGTTCCAAATCTGCAGGGCTGGTTCTAGCTGATCTGAGAGTTGGAGCCCAGTCCTGGCTTTAGAGTAGAGGCAGACTACACGTCACAAACTTTAGCACTGGGAAAAAAAGCCTAGGCGTAACCCAATTAGAGTATTTATCTGTTTGTTTGTTTGAAATGACACAGTGGACACGAACGCATGCTTGGATTGACACTGCATGAAAAGGAAAGTCTGTAATTCCACTCCACTGTCCCAAGGCTGTGTTCCTGCACTTCTCACTGTTACAATCTGAGAGCCAAAGTTCTCAATATTCATTCACCAAGCATACTCATGGAGTACACACACATTCGAGTTATCACACAGTGAAAAACAAACACAGAACAAGGAAACGTGAACAAGAGAAGTCCAGCTAATTGAGGGGAGATATTAAAGGCAGCCTATTAAGTTTGCTATTTTGTAGATGGCAGCAGACCATCTGATACTTTTGTAGAGAATCAGGTCAATTTCTCATATCTATATTCTCAGGTCTCTAAGACAAGATTTATAAGGGAAATTTTTTTGTAAACTATACCTTATAAGACTTCGGGAGCATGCATGGGGGTCACAGTCTCAACCATAGCTGAGGAGTTATTAGCAACTGACGGATGCTACAAGACTCGGTTTTCTCTAGGGATGAGGTGAGGTCCTAGAGAGGCGACTCACACTCCAGCAGACAACCCAACACCCATACACTTACTGACAGCACCAAATAAACTCGGCTTTACAGAACAGACAAAACAAAACAAAATATTTATTTGGGAGGGAAAAGGGGGGGGGCGGGTAGAGTGGAAGAACTACAGGACAGGAAATGAGGAACCTGTTTGACCAAAACACAGCATAGCCCAGTCGGTGATGGTGGCACACACCTTTAATCCCGGCATTTGGGAGGCAGAGGCCAGCCTGGTCTCCAGAGCTAGTTCCAGGATAGTCAAGGCTACTCAGAAAAAGTCTGTCTCGAAAAAACAAAATAAAATAAAGTGAAAATATAAATAAATAAATCCACTACATGCACATATGAAATTTTCAAACAACAGAAACGTTTTTTTAAAACGTTGTATTTTAAAACGGAGCTGTAATTTAGTTAATCTTTTAGAGTCATGTTAGGAAGTTATAGAAATCGCGACAGTGGAGGCTGCCACCTCTGCCTGAGAAATTCCTCTGGTTCCCTTTTAAAGGTGATGCGCACAGTGTTTAGTGTGGGTTGCAAAAGAGGAAGCTAGCAAGAAAGAAGAAACAAATAGCCTTGCTAGGGTTTGGGTGGACAAAAGAGCTGGCGAGAACGAAGCCACCATGCCCTGGTTCATCTTTCAACCCTGCAGACAGGTCACAGCCAGACTGCTTTCACTTCTCCCCAGCTGCTAACTATACTGTAGATTAAATACAACTGAGAAAAATGACTTTGATCTCTCTTCTGAAGTCTTCAAGGTTGGAGGCACACCCAAGGTTTTCACCATGCTAGACCCCAGAGGTCTGTATGAAGAAGGAAAACAGGGCAACATGAAACCAAATGAAAATAAGAGTTACAAGACTCCCTGAAAATTTGTGTGCATTTCCGGAGAGCTACTGACAGGACCGGTGAATTAACTCTGGCACAGCGTAATCTGGCAATGGAACCCGTCTGAACGGCGCTGCAGATGAAGAGGGACAGCCCGAGGAGCTTGAGCAGTAAGTCCAAGTCTCTGGTTGAAAAGGCAATTAGACGTGCGTATCAAAACAAAGAATAGAACGGAATCTCAGCAGTTTACACATGCTAAACTATTCCATAACATTTGAACTTTGACTAAGAATGGATACAACTTCCTTTCAAGGCTAAATGGATCTTTGTGTGGGTTGCTTTTCTACTGCAAGACTGTTGTGGCGCACAGTGATGGAGAGGGGAGCATTATTCAAATGAAAGTAAATACCGCCCCCTGTTGGAAATCACCAGAATTTCCTGTTAGGTGAAATTACCTCTGCTTCTATCATAAAACAGCAAGTGCTTAATGGTGCTCGTAAGGTTCCTCTTCCATCTTTAGCTTCTCCACTCCAGACTTTTGCACAAGCCATAATGAATTACATTTGTGTAATTCTTACGTCTTCTTCCAACCGCACTGAATTACTTAATGTCCAGCTCATTGCAAGTTCTCTTCTCCGATTCTTCCCGGGTTCTCTTTACCAAGCAAATCCCTGCAAGTCAGTTAAATTCTTCTTTCAGAGTTAAGCTGAAAACTGATTTCTAAGAAGTCTTTCTTGGTGATAAAAACAATTAGAGCATACTGAGAACTTACTAAATGTCAGATATTATTCCAAGTTCTTTCGAATCATTAGTTTCCGCTCATCGGGAAAACTGTAGGAAATGGAGATGATTGCCTGTTACATGGGAGAAGAAACTGAGGCAGAGAGGCAATTCCCAAAATTGTCAGAAAAATGAGCCAGGAGTTAGTGGTAATGAACGGAAACGTTAATGCCCAACTGGAGGAGAATAAAGTAGTTAAAAAAATATGCTGGAGGGACTGGAGAGTTGGCTCAGCGCTTAAAAGCACTGGCTGCTCTCCCAAAGAATCCAGGTTCGGTTCCCAGCACTCATAAGACTAATGGTCTGTAACTGCATTCTAGGGGATCCGATGCCCTCTTTCGGCCCCAAGAGACAGCAGGCATGTACGTGGTGCAGACAAACATGCAAGCAATGCAGGAAATGCAGAAGGCAGCACGTTTGGGTATCCCCAGCTCAAGTCTCCGCAAACACTTCTTGCTTTAGTTCCTCTGTGCTAACGTGAGGACCATTCTCAGGCTCATACGGCTCCCTAAACCTCAAAGAGATGGCAGCTGGAGCCCACGCAGTTCTTTCGCGCAGCCACGTCCGGCTGGATAGGTTCCCAATTTGCCTCCGAAATAGTCGGGTACAGGATGGGGTGCTTCGGGACAGCCTTCCACCATCCCAAATCCGAATGGTGTGGACACCCCCATCACTGGTCCCTCGGTTGAGAACTCGGGGACAGGAGTGGCCCGCCTCCCTCACGGCTGCGTTGGAAGCCTCACAGACTGGGTGCCCAGAAGGCTGAGCACAGCCCGCCCGCCAGCTCCGCACCCGAAGCTCAGCGCCCGCCGGCGGCACGAGAGGCGGGAAGAGCCAGCCCGCCCCACCCGCGAGCTCCTCGGGGGCGTGGACAGGACAAGCCCCGCCCATGCCCAGCGGCTCCTCGCGGCAACCGGCACAACACAGCAAGATGGCCGCCGTGCCGCCGGTCGCCTGAGGGCGGTATCCGAGCGTCTCCGCGTCGCCTCTCCGGCGAAGCTGTCCCTCCCGGTCCTGCGGCGGTGAGTGTGCTTCGGCGTCCAGACCGAGGGGGACGGCGGGCGGCAAAGGCCGGAAGGCTGCGGTCCGGCGTGAGGAGGGCCGGCTCGGGACGGATTCGGGGCGGGGGCGTGTGCTTGGGAAGGGATTGGACGGGAGGGGAGGGCAGGGGGCGGGCGCGCAGGGCCGGCATGGGGTGGGGAGGGCAGGGCAGGGGGCGGGCAGGCAGGGGAGGGCAGGGGGCGGGCGCGCAGGGCCGGCGTGGAGTGGGGAGGGCAGGGCCGGGGAGGGCAGGGGGCGGGCGGGGACCCTTAAGGATGGGGTCCGGCTGAGAGGAAGGGGGCCGGGACGCGCCGCTGTCCCCCGAATGCTGCACGGAGACAGGCTGGCAGTCCTGCGGGCAGCCTAGGAGGGAATGAGAAGCAGGGACCCGTGAGTGTGGAAGCCACACTTGATTCCATCACTGTGTTCTCCCTAACCTCAGCATTGTGGCTAGGGGCATGTTCCCCTTTTAAAACTTTGTTTCACGTTTTTCTTTTTAAGTTCCATGTGGATGGGGGACACGTACAGTGGTGCACATGTGAAGGTCACAGGACAACTGTGGTGTCACTTTCCTCCCTTACACACACACACACACACACACACACACACACACCGTGTTCCAGATACAGAGTTTAGGTCATCAGATTAGCACCAAAGATGCCTTTACCCCCTGAGCCACCTCCGTGGCCCCCTGGGCATGTTTCTTAACTACTTCCTTGATGTCTGTCTTAGTTAAGGTTTCTATTGCTGTGGTAAGACACTGTGACCAAAGCAACTGGGGAGGAAGAGTTTGTCTTAAAAGTCCCAGGTGCAGTGCTCTGAGGAAAATCAGGCAGAACCTCAAGGAAGGAATTGAAGCAGAAGCAGTGGAGGATTGCTGCCCACTGTCCTGTCCCTCATGGCTTGCTCAGTCTGCTTTCCAGGACCACTTCCTGGGGGCGGAACTGAACTCAGCGATCTGAACCTCTCCCGTTAAGCATAGAATGCCCGACACACTTGCCTATAAGCCAGGTTTTGGGTTTTTGTTGTTGTTGTTGTTGTTGTTGTTTGGTTTTTGAGACAGGGTTTCTCTATGTATCTTTGGTTGTCCTGTAGACCAGGCTGGCCTTGAATTCACAGCAATCCACCTGCCTCTGCCTCAGGAGTGCTGGGATTAAAGTTGTATGCCACCACCACCTGACACCTACAGGCATATTTTATGGATGCATTTTGTCAATGAAAATTCCTTCTTCACAGATTGTCAAGTTGACAAAAACCAGTCAGCACACTTGATCTGTTTCTTCATGTGTAAAATAGCCAATCTCTTCTGGGTGTTTGCCATGTTTCAAATACAGTTCCAAGTACTACTTAAGTGTAAAGTTATTTAGAATTTATGTAACTGTGAAAGTTGCATTCACACTTTCAAACTCAGTAAGTAACCTTATTGAAATAAATAATTTGTCTTAATGTCATATAGTAAATGAAAATTAAAGATATTGATTTAGACCATGTGATTCTAGAATCTAAGGTCTTAATTGCTTGTAAATGAGATTCTATTTTTGTTTGTTTGTTTCTTTTTTGAGACAGGATTTCTCTGTGAAACAGCCCTGGCTGTCCTGGAACTAGCTTTTGTAGACCAGTCTGGCCTTGAACTCACAGAGCTGTGCCTACCGCTGAGATTAAAGATGTGTGCTACCACCACCCAACTGTGATTCTGTTCTTATATAGCATCTTAAAAGATTTAAATTTGGCAATATCTGGAGCCAGAAAGGTGGCTCAGAGGTTTAGAGCACTGACTACTCTTCCAGAGGTCCTGAGTTTGGTTCCCAGCACCCGTATGGCAGCTCCCAACCATCTGTAATGTGGTCTGGTGCCCTCTTCTGATGTGCAAGCATGTATGCTGACAAAACATCCATATTCATAAAATACGTAGTTAAACAAATCTTTAAAACATTGGCAGTGTCTTTGGCGTGTTTTTCCTGGTTCTTTCAGGTAATGTGCCTTTATTGTTTGCACAGCAGGTGATTCTCTACTCTCTTGTAGTTTATAGTCTGTTATAAGAAGCAGTACATAGTTAGTTTCACAGATCCAACCGAATGAATGTTTATAAGACCCTGAGTGCAGAGTCTGCAGTGCAGGGACATTTGTCTTCTCATACATTCTGAGTGTAGAAACCGACCTTCTTAGCTGTGTGTCTTCCTAGAGTTTAACATACTCCTAAATTTATAAAAATTGTTCATTGAAGTTGGATAGGTAAATTAGTACAAAGGGATGAGAAGTTTGGGGTGTGAGTGAGATGGGAGGGAAGAAATAAGGTTGTAAATAGAGGAAGGTATACTAGCCAGGGTGTTACACGGAAAGGCATATTCTTGGGTAATTGGGTTGAATGCAGATGAGTGGGTGGTTTGAGCCGCGCGTGTTTGGGTGGGGAATGTTGTCAGGATTAGAATGGAGAAGGGCGTGGCACTTGCTGAGTTGAGAGAAGCAGGTGGGGAAAATGGGATAGAGAGATAGTTATAAGATAGAGTATTAGAATTGTAGAGAAATGGGGAAGGATACTGTGGTGTTTGGGAACTGGGACAGAACTTGTGGAGAAACTTTACAGTTTAAATAGGAGTGAAAAAATAAAAGGCAGAAGTGGGCCGCACAGAATGGGCATTGGCTTTAAAAAGGGTTGGGCTGGGTTAGAGACCTTGAAGGATGGCAGGTCTAAAGACAGGACTTCAGACGGCTAAAGAGAAGATTTAAATAAGCCAGAAACCAGAGGTATAGAATGAAGAGAATCAGAGGGAAAATCTAAAACGTTAAAGGGCTAAGGGAAAAGTGTTGGTGTTGTTAGATCAGGACAAGTGTCTAGGTTTGTGGGTGGCAGGATGAGTTGTGTGTTATAACTTAGTCACATGACTCTAATTGTCACAACACTCCAGTGGCTTTCTCTTGCTCTGTTGAACATCTGCTGGGCATTTAAAAATTGCTCTCCAGCCCTCGGCTTGTTTTCTTTATTTTGTTCTTGACAACACTAGCCCTACCTTTCCCTGCCTTCTCTTTCCCGTGGTTTCCATTTGTTCATTCTGTGCTCAAACTTCAGCCCACTGCAAGCAACAACTAGGGTCAGAATTGCCTGTTTCTTCCTTAAGAAATGGGCGGCTATCACCAAAGTGATCTAACTCTAAAGACTGTGCTAGTGACAAGTCTTTACAGAGGGTTTGCCAAGTGCCAAGTACTGCGGTAAACTTGTATGGTCACATTGGAAGAACTGAATACGTACTATTTCCTGTTTTATAGATGAAGAGTTGTTTTACCCAAAGTTCCACACTAATTGGATAAGCCAACATTTTAATCTTCCTATGATCCCCAAACCTGTGGTCTTTGTTACCATGTCACATAGCTAAATGAGTTTTGGGGGTTCAGATCATATTTTGCATCATGTCCTACAGGGAACATGATGTCTTACACAAAACAGACTGACTTCTATCTCAGTCCGGTATTATATAGTTAGTTCAGTACACACATGCACACACACATGCACACATACACGCACAACTCTCTTACACACCCTCTCTTTCTCACACACATACACCACTAGTTTAAATTGCTAACTTAACATATATTTATACTTTTTCTCTCATTTTCTCACATATAACTAACCATATAAGTCAGAAAATCTCCCAGAGTCACAAAGCTGTTGTTTATGCTATCATCACAAAGCTTTTGCTCTTTATTTTAAAAGTTGACTAAAGCCGGTCAGTGGTGGCACACACCTTTAATCCCAGAACTCAGAGGTAGAAGCAGGTGGGTCTCTGAGTTCGAGGCCAGCCTGGTCTACAGAGTGAGTTCCTCAAAGCTACACAGATAAAGCCTGTCTCGGGGGGGAAAAAAAAGTGTAGATAAAATAACTAAAACAACAAAACCCAATTTGTGTTTAATATTCTTTCATGGAAAGGGATCTCTTGGTCATACTATTGATTCCATGCTAAGGTGAACTGCCATTCTCCTTCAGATATGAATAATACACTCAAGCTTGAGAAACTAAACTAGGTTTAAACACTTAGATAAAATGTATTTACTCCTTGTGGTGGTTTAAATTAGAGGGCCCCACAGGCTTATATGTTTGAATACTAGGCCCAGCTGGTAGAACTGTTTGGGAAGGATTAGGAGCTATGACTTTTTGGAGGAGTAGTGTCACTAGGGTGGGCCAGTTAGTTCTCCCTTTGTTTGTGGATAAAGATGTGGGGTCTCAGCTACTGCTCCTGCACTATGCCTGCCTGCCTTCATGCTCCCTGCCATGATGGTAATGAACTAATCCTCAGGAACTGTAACCCTTGATAAGTTCTTTCTTCTCTAAGTTGCTTTGTTATAGAATCTTGTCAAAGCAATAGAAAGTAACTAAGGTTCTCCTGAATAAAATTAATTAAGGGGTGACAAACTAGGTTATAGTTTTCATAAGGCAAGAAATCCCAAACAAAACAGGATGTATAGGCCCATCCTCTTACATCTTTTTCCCTGTTTCATAGCATATCTGATATTACAAAAATAGAATAATGTATATCACATACTATAGATGTTTCCTTTTTTCTTAGTTTTGTTAATAAAGCATCCTATATCTGTAGGCAATTCACTTATTTTGTATCCTACATCTTAGTCTTCTTTCCACATCTTCAAAATTATAAACCATCTAGAATTCCTCTTATCAAATGCTAGTGATCACTAAATTATTATGAAGTCCTGTTACCTCTCCTGCCAAGTAAAACTTATGCTTATATAGCCATAGAGTTAGAAATATATTCTGTGGATTCCAGAAACATTTTCATAAATTGTGACATGAAAGATAAAGTGATGGTTCTCAAGTTCCAGTGCCCCCACAGGTCCCTCCCTAAATTGCCATAGCGCCTGTAAAATCTGGATATTGGAATATATACTGTCTCATAGGGGAAGCCAGGGTTTGAGAATGGAGATTTGGACAACACGGATTTCTGTCCATAGGACTGAAATGGAACTGAGGTGCAGGAACGCTTCATTGGCTGCAGATTAACATTTGTCTTATTTGAAAATGGTTTGATACCTTAGCAAACCTGTAAGTAAGTTAAACCGGACTAAGACTCAGCTATTTGTTTTAAAAGTATGTTGTTAAATTGGACTTTCAGTTTAGTTTGTACATGAAGGTTGTATTTGGCTCTATAGAAACGTAAGGCCAAAGAAATACAACCTCAGGCTGGGCAGTGGTGGTGCACACCTTTAATCCCAGCACTCAGGAGGCAAAGACAGGCAGATCTCTGTGGTTTCGAGACAGCCTGGTCTGCAGAACATGTTCTAGGACAACCAAGGATACAGAGAGAAACCCTGTTTGGGGCGGGGGAGAAAGAAAGAAATAGAAGAGAAAAGAAAGGCAATCTTAGACCAAATTCAACATATATAAAGATGCATATACATCATTCTATTTTCAGTATCCGCTTCTGATATCAATTAGTCATTGGACTGAAAACTACTTTAACTTAATATACTATTACACTAAACTTTTTTTTCCAGAATTAACTGTATTTGAGAGCTGAGGATATGCATTAGGTTATCCAAGGTGATATTTAAAGGGGACAAAAGCAAACCTAGAGGAGTGCTGAAATTTAGGCTAAGTAGAAGAACATGAACCAGCAAAGAAGGCCACGGAGTAGCAGAAAGACAAAAGAAAGCCAGTAGAACACGGTGTCACAGACTGGGTTCTAGGAGGAAAGGGTGCTTATAAGCATTGCTTGTCAAATATTCCCATATGTGACCCTGCATGGAAAGGACCTGTGAAAAGTTTGGGCTGGTAAACTGAGAAAAGAAGTTACAAGTCAGACTCTGACCTGAGCATGTGTCATGACAGGTCTTCCAGGGTCTTGTCCCTGTGGAGGCGTGATCAGCATTCAGACAGCACCTGCTCCATAGGCTTCCATAGCCTTTGATTTCTCAGCCTCATAGTCTTAGAGCTCTAGAGATAATTTAAGATGCTTCATGGCTGTAGAGACTAACCTTATTAAATATATTGAAAACTCTTACAGGTTTTGATGGCCATCTGGTTTTATTCTTGCAATGAAGAAAGGCTCTGCACAAAACTTCTCCAAAGCAAAGATGCCACTGTCCTCTCATTTTTCTGGGCCATCATCTCTTAAGTCCAATATGAGATCTAGGTCACTTTCACCTTTAATTGGATCTGAGATGCCACCTTTTCATACTCCTGGACAGTGCTCTGCACAGACTGAGCATACAGATGAAAACACCATGCTTTCGGAGTCCCAGCACCATAAAGGTACTGCTAAAAATGTGTCTGCTCTCCTATGGAAGTAGAGATGGGAAGTACTGAGCTTAGATGTGGGTCCCAGACAGAACACCCTCCTGAACTAGCCAGAATTGCTCTTTTAATAACTGGTAGGAACTGTGAGAATGGGGTGAGGACTCGGGCTTTGGGTGAGGGTAAAGGTGTCTGTGAAGGTGTTAGGGCCGGGGAGTTTCTAGAAAAGGAGGTTGGATTTCTTGTAGAGTTCTTTCTAGCTCTTACTAGGAATTTTCCACCCTCCTTAGCTATGGCTGGACATACCTCCTTCCCTACGAGTGGAATGCTTTCAAGATGATAAACGTGCTAGCCATGGTTTCTTCTCTTTAAACTGCTTCTCTGTGAGCGTACCGACTTCCACTTAGGGAACATATACATGTCCCACCAGCCTTTTAAGTTTTTCCCTTTCTCTTTTTGTAATTTTATGTCCATTGATGTTTTGACTGCATGTGTGTCTCTGTAAAGGTGTCAAAAACCTTGAAACTGTTTACAGACAGTGTGAGCTGCCTTATGTGTGCTGGGAATTGAACCTGGCAGAGCAGTCAGACAGTGCTCTTAACTGCTGAGCCATCTCCCCAGTTCCTTAAGGTTTTCTTCTTAAAAAAAAAATGTTCTGCTGATCTAGTTTCCATTTTCAGAAATGCTTTATTCTTTACTAGGTCATGAGTCAACTTCTGCTGACCTGAATACTTAATGGTTTATGTTAAAATCTTTCAACATTAAGTTTATACTCTACTGTGCAACTTTACTGCCTGTTGGTGCCTTATTATTTCTGAATTGATTGTTATTCCAGAATATTGGTTTTGTCAAGAGACTTTTTCTTTTTATAAAACGCAATATGACTTTAACAGTCTTTGACAACACTTTCCACAAAGGCCGTAAAAGAAGGTCTGTTACTTACCAAGCTGATACCCTATATCCATAAAAATGATATTTCCTATTAAATGAAGCAACAAATGGAAAAATCGTGCTCTGCAGCAAACCTTGGTGCTGCATATGGTTGAAAGTGCAAGTGAAAACACTTGCATACAGGACCTGCCTCGGGCCTGAGCTTGATCTCCACAGAACTGATCTCCACACATTGCTGTGGTCCAAGTGCACCTTCACACACACACACACACACACACACACACACACACACACACACACAGAGAGAGAGAGAGAGACAGAGACAGAGAGAGAGACAGAGAGAGAGAGAACGAGAACATGTTTGGAATGTATTTGCTTGAGTTGACATTTTGAATTTGTGCTATATTAGTTGCAGAATATTGAGCATATAATTTAAAATATTTATTTATTTTTATACATGGGTGCCTTGCCTGCACATGTATCTATTCACTGTTTATGTCCCTGATGTCCTGGAGGCCAGAAGAGGGTGTTGGTTGTGAGTGGGCTGTGTGGGTGCTGGGATCAAACTCGTCCTCTGAAGAGTAGCCAGGGCTCTTAACCACTGAGCCATTTCTCTTGATCAAAAAGTTTCTATAAATGTGGACATTAGTAATTTTTTCTTCAAAGGTTTATACAGCTTACATTTTAAATGTAAAAAATTTATTATAGAGCCCCAACTGTAACTTTTTCATAGTGAAGTGGTATAAAGTGACATCCTAAGGTGCTGTGATTAGCCAGATACTGTCTGTACATCTGCATTGATTAAAATTTCTTTATGTATAGCATAAAAACAATTTGTATTTTGTGATATTTATACTTCCTAATGATCTGTTTCTGGATTTCAGGAGCTGATTCATATGTAGGAGTCCGGTATATTACAGAAGCCCTCATCAAAAAACTCACTAAACAAGACAACTTGACCTTGGTAAAATCTTTGAACCTTTCACTTTCTAAAGATGGTGGCAAGAAATTTAGGGTACGTGTCCAGCAATTTCTAAACATAACATTGATTTTATTTTTTTATGTCTTTAGGAATATCTTTTGTTTTTTTTCCTTTAATGGTTTCATTTTGTTTTTGGTTTTTGAGACAGGGCTTCTCTGTGTAGCCCTGGCTGTCCTAGAACTCACTCTAGGCTGGCCTCAAACTCACAGAGATCCGCCTAGCTCTTCCTCCTGAGTGCTGGATGCAGGCCACAAAAGAAGGCACAATAGTTTTAGCTTCTATGAAGATTTTAAAAGACAACTTTTTAAATGCTAAAAGGAAAAAAAGTCTGGCAGTTAGTGTTTGCAGCCTATGTAATACCATTCGTATAATATAGAAAACCTAGAATTCAGTGACAGAGACAATGGAAATTTGCAAAGGGTATGAACAGGCAGTTCAGAATGGATCTAAATGACCAGTATTAACTTGAAACCGTGACCCATTCATTATTGTCAAATAAAACAAGAGTTTGGAAGCATTTTCTGTTTTGTACAGCCAATGGTCAAATTTTGAAAGCTTTCACTATCCCAAAGGTCTGATAAAGGGGTGTTCTCCTCTGCGTGTGTGAGCACAGAGAGCAAGTATGGTTCAGATGTGGTTGTTCTCTGGTCAGTAACTTAGTTTATAGTCACTGAGTTTATACTCAGTACCCAGCAGTCCTGCTACTCTTTCATTCCTAGGTATAATATGCTTATTAAGCATTATTTAAATAAAAAATTTAGAAATGCCTAAACATCTCATTGGAGATTGTCTAAATAAATTATAGTGCAGTATACCATGAAATAATGTCAGATTTAAAAAGTGATTTAGAACCCTATGTGTTAAAATGTCTCAGTCAGTATTCTGTTGCTGTGAAAAGATACCACGACCAAGGCATTTCTTTAAAAAGAAAGCGTTTAACTATGGGTTTGCTTGCAGTTTCAGAGGTTAGTTTGTTTTATCATGGCAGGGAGCATGGCAGTAGGCAGGCAGGAGGGGTGGTACTGGAGAGGTCGCTGAGAGCTTTTCATCCTGATCCACAGGCAGTAGGCAGAGGGAGAACTAGACACTGGGCCTGGCATGGGTTTTTGAAACCTCAAAGCATGGCCTTTTGTGGCACTTCTCCTCCAACAAGGCCACACCTTGTAATCCTTCCTTGACACCTCATCAGTGTATGGGACCAGTGTCATTTGAACCACCACACCATGGCATTTTTTTTTTTCATGTTAGTTTCAGTGAAAACCAACTTTAAAGTGTATTATTTAGTATAACCTCAAGCTCTTTTTAAAATTCTGTTTGCTGTATGTATGGACAGAAAGGAATAGAAGACCCTGAGTGTGTACACATTAGCCTCTTAGTGGTGGTTCACCAAGTGGTGTAATTCTTCTCATTTTAGTGAGCTCAGAAAGAATGTTTTGTGTTTCATTTGAAGACTTAAATAGAGTACGCTCAGGTTTCAGTTGTGTAGTTATTGAGGAAAAGGACACTTGTGGTAGTTTTAGATTTGTGGAAATGAAATATCAAATCAGTATGTAGTCGCTCTGCAGCTGTTCCATGCACCAGACATATCAGTCTAAGGAGGCAGATACAGAGGTGAATAAACTTAGCTTGTGGTCTGAGAATTTAGAGTTTGGTGTGAAAAGTGTCTAGGACTAAGTGTGAGAATAGGGAGGATCGTGGGATATGGGTTAGGGAGGCCAAGCCAAGGTGAAAGCCTAAAGGATCTGTTGTGCTAGAAAAGACCCGAGAGCATGAGGCATGGAGGCTTCAGGTGGAAACGGCAGACAGCAAAGGATGATAAAAGTGATGCAAAATAGCCAAAAAAGAAGGAAACAGAAATCACAGGTTTCTCAAACCCACCACGTCCATTCTATCAAGGCCTCTGGAGAGTGTTTTGTTTTTAAGATTTTTTTTTCTTTGTGTGTGTGTGTTGCCTGCATGCCTCATGCCTACAGAGGCTAGAAGAGGGCAATATATCCCCTGGAACTAGAGTTACAGATAGTTGTAGTAAGCATGTGGGTTCTGGGAATCAAACACAAGTCCTTCTCTAGGGCAGCAAGTGTTCTTACCTGCAGAGCCATCTCTCCAGACCCTTGTCTGTGGTTTTTGTTGTTTTTAAATTGGCCTAGTGTTCTGTGTTCCTGGATGTACACACAGCTGACTCAACTGACTTCGTGTGGAGTCTCTGCTGGGTGTACTTCCTCAGTGAAGCCTTATCTTACCACCCCGTTGTAGCCACACACCCTCTCCTCTTCTCTCAACAGATTTTACTTAGCACCCAGTATGTGCCAGCAGTAGTGCTTAGCAGTGTACACAGCAGGCAGTCTGCTCTCTAGGACTCTTGCATACTGTTACAAGAGGTTTTCTTTATTGTCTTCCTTGAATTTTGTGTTTGTGTATACCAGTAAAGCCAAGAAATCCTACTTTCCTTGTCTGCCACTATATTTCATGTACATAGAACTACTCCTGGCACATAATCCACGTTTAGTAAGTATTTACTAAATGGATGATAACGGAGAGGCTGGGATGTGCTCAAAGTACAATAGCAGTAAATGGGGAAGGCAGGAAAAGAAGTGTAGACAGTTCTTGTGAGTGTACTCATGACAAATGGGGGAGACAAGAGGAAGGCTCAGGTGAAACACCGGTACAGTGCAGTGCGTCTTGCTGATAGAGAAGCAGTGTGAGCGTAGTGAATATGAGCTGTGCAGTGGGGACAGGGCCTGCGTTACGGCTATAGCCTTGCTGTGCAGTATCACACTTTGTTCATATTATCCGTGTAATGTATACCTGTTGTAAACTGAGGGGGGGGCGTTAAATAGTGTAGTACTTAGTTTGGAGAGAGTAAACTGTCTTCGAGAAAAGTGGAAGGGAAGAGAGAAAGAGAAACGGAAAAGTTGAAGTCAAGGGCACAATGGTGAGAGAATTCTTGTTGAGTAGTTTAGGCTTCTTACTGTACAGGCATTGCTGAGGGTCAGGAGGATATTGGCAGAAGCTTACTACTCATGGTCAAGGAAAGTGGTAGCAGGGGTTGTCCAGGAAAAGTGTTAGGATTTGCTGATCCAAACAGCTTCTAGTACACCTGCCTCAGTGTGTTTATATGTCAAGGAGTCTGCTGCATAAAGCATTTACCATTTATTTCCAATTAGTACATCGAAAATTTGGAAAAGTGTGTTAAACTTGAAGTACTGAATCTCAGCTACAATCTAATAGCAAAGATTGAGAAGGTGGACAAACTGCTAAGATTACGTGAACTCAACTTATCATATAACAAAATCAGGTGAGTGACTGCTCCTTTCGGTAGCATTGCGGGGCCTTCCTGTCAGCAGTAGACTGAGGTTATCCGGGTCATTGAAAGAGTCCATTAAAGGGTTATATTCTGGAACTTGCCATCTGTCTTTATGTTGCAGCAGCACTTAAGTGTGGAGTAGTATTTTATTTAGCACTGTTAAAGCAGGTATATTTCCTCTTTTTAGCAGTAACTTTGTCTAGATGTTTTCCATGATTTCTTGCCTTATTACATAAGTAATATTTTGTGAAGACAGTGCCATTTTGATCCCAAAGATATTCTAAATAATTTGATCCTGTGTATTTATCCTCGTGTTCTTTGCTCATAGCTACAAGAAATAACACTGTACATCTCATTTCTAATTCAGATATACATACAAATATACTGGGAGAAATAAATGTAGTCCAACCTAGTGATGACTAACACTGTGTATAAAAACTGTGATGGGGAAGATGCAACAGAAATCAAATCTGGGAAATCTTTATACTTTTTTCCCAGCTTAGACTTTTTAAATATGATGGTCAGCAAATCAAAAGAAAACGAGCACAGGCCTGGAGAGGTGGCTCAGCACCCACAGTGGCTCACAACCCGTGTCAGGAGAAGCCCACACCCTCTTCTGGCCTCCTTGGGCACTGCACACTTAGGCCACACGGACAAATACATGTAGGCAAAACATGTGTACACATAAAATTTAAAAAAGGTGTATGTGGGGGGAGATAACAACCTTAATAATGAGAGAAGTTCTAATTAAAACAAAAATGAAATGTAAAACAAAATCCTGGCAAATCAAGTTCACAATATGAAAACTTTCACAAGAGTTATCTAATGAAAATAGAGCAGCGCAGGAATATTTGGTCAGCATGGTAAACTGACCAGGGAATGAAATTGACAACTAAGTTGCAGGTGATGTGACGGGTGTGCTGCCACTGGGAGCTGAGTGGGCTGAGCGGGAATGAATGCATATATTCATAAACACAGTACCGCTTCAGAGTGTACGTGCTGCTGGCATAGTTATCTTTGGTGAGGACAGTTTAATTATTGTGGACATCTGGACAGCACCGCAGCTCACAGCGGTGTGCTGTTGAGTGTTCCATTCTCAGGGGTGCGGCCACGGGCACCTCTTCTTTCCTGTGTTAGCAGATCTTAGAGTGTGGTAAGGTGGGCAGGACTGCAGGCACACTCCTGAAGGGTTGGCACTTCAGCTCTCTGAGGAAATTTGACTTTGGCCATTTTCTTTGGTTGTCATTGAGGAAAAAGTTAACTCTAGTTATGGAAAGAAGTTCAGCAGCTGAGGCTATTTACTATAAACTGCCATGAAAGAACTTAAACATTTTACGACTAAGTTTGATTTTGTACTCTGGTTTCCAGCAAGATTGAAGGACTAGAAAACATGTGTAACCTACAAAAGCTGAACCTAGCAGGAAATGAAATCGAGCACATCCCAGTGTGGTTTGCAAAGAAGTTGAAATCTTTGCGAGTCCTCAATCTGAAAGGCAATAAGATATCATCGGTAAGTATTCAAAGTGCAAGATTTATTTTTCCTCAAACTTAAATTGTTCAAATTATAAAAATCTTGGTCCATGTTTATATTTTATATTGAACATGATCCCTCTCGTGCCCAGTACCCACTCTTTTCATGCCCCTCCTCTTCCTGTTAGTACCTTAATCTTCCTAAAAATTTATTATTCAAATTTTTTATTTATTGGGAAAGATATTTAGAAGTCTTCAGTTGTTTTTAAAGAATGATATTTTTAACGTCCTTATTTGATTGACGATATGCCAAATTCAGATATGACCTAGAATTCGTTAGTATAATTAAACACTCATCTCATTTTGCAAAGATTCCATAATCAAGAATTGATCTCTTAGTATTTTCTTATCCATCATTTCATTGCACCTTCTTATATTCTTGTTGCCTAGTGCCAAATGTGTAATACATATGCAGTTCTATCTATTTTAAACTTACATTCTGAGGTTCTAAATTTGATTTCCACTTTTCAGGTGAAGTCTTAATTTAATTCATGTTTAGTTAGAACATGCCTTCTAAGCACCTAATGAGTAAATATGGCACCTAATCAGTGTTACATTGGGTGTTAGGACTGGAGCAACCATGATATAACTTAATGATAATTGTCATAGACTGGAAATGGGAGGGCATGACCAGCTACAGGTCTAGGCTGCCCTAATGTCACCTTGGAGAGTCCTTTGATTTTTTATGGACTGTTTAAACTAGAGAAGATAATTTCTGTATGGCCTCTTTACAGAGGTGTCAGGAGGGTCAGGTAGCACGAGAGACACTTTAAGCAAAGAGTGACTAAGACTGTATTTCTTATACCTTCAAGTGTGAAGGCAAATTAGAACACACACCTTTTTTCCATTTTATTGTTGATTGTCTTGCTTGTTGTTTACGCGGAGCTCATGATGCGGCCTCTCTCTGTGGGCCAAGCACAACTCAGACTTGCAGCTCTCCTGCCTTTGCCCCCACATGCCGGCGCTACGGCTGTGTTCTGCCACACTCGGCATTTATTTTTATAGGGATCTGGGAAGGAGACTCCATTTTACTGCAGCTGCTCGAGAGCCTTGGAGTCCAGGCCTCAGCCGTTCTGTAGGTCACCTCGCAGTTCTTGAGACTCACAGGCTGGCAGGAACGAGCAGCTGCGTCATACCCAGAGTCTGCCGAACAGCAGGAGAACCGTTCGGTATTTATTATTTGTAATCATACATCATTTTCTCATCTCTTTGTTTGGCATTGGCATCATTAAGAATAATATATGTTTATTTGGGAGAAATATGTACTTGTACAAGCTATTTAAACTGTGTTTCTCAACCTACATAAGTCCTTAGAATAAACAAAAGTCTTCAAAGAATGTTAGTATCTATACATATTTTTGTGTTTTTCACCATCAACTATAATGCCATTATCTCAAAATTTACAAAAATTCTTCATAGCAGCTCATTTTATGGTTATTTGATGAATAAAAAATAAAGACATTAGACTAATTTAGACTTAGATTGAAACCCCATTTTTTTCAGTTACACTAGGCTCTGAGCTAAGGCAAGTCACATATTTGAATCTTGAGTTTTTCAGCTCTAAAATTCAGATAAGACGTCATGGCTTTGAAGAACCACAGAGAAAATGCATAATACTGTCTGGTATACCAATGCTCATAGACTCCTTTTCTGTCTCTTTCTTACACTGCTAATTTGGGGCAGTAGGTTTTGTAAGTAGATTTCTGGACATGTTAAAAGCAATCCTTTGTTGGTTTATAATTTTAAAGTGAATTATTCCAATACCGCTGTTGTGCCATTTCAGCTCCAGGATGTAAGCAAGTTGAAGCCACTTCAAGATTTGACTTCTCTAATCCTCATTGAAAACCCGATCGTGACCCTTCCTCATTATCCCCAGTTTACCATTTTCCACCTCCGTTCCCTGGAAAGTCTGGAGGGTCAGCCAGTAACTACTCAGGATAGACAAGAGGCTTTTGAGAGATTCAATTTAGGTAAGAGATACTTAAAAATCAAACGAAAAGCTAAACTTGAATGAGGAAGGAACTTACCTTTAGAAGTTCTCTAGAGGGGCAGGGTCTGATGAGATGGCTCAGAGGGTAGAAGGCATTTGTTGCCAGACCTGAGGACCTGAGTTCAGTCCCCAGGACCCACTTGGTGGAAGGTGTGAACTGACTTCTACAGGATGTCCTCTGATCTTATGCTATGTCAGGTGTGCATTCCTAACCACCTCCAATAAATACACAAATATTTAATTTTAAAAGGTGCTTATCACCACATCTGACATTTTAAAAAAAGAAAAATTATAAACTTTATAATTCTACTAAAATTTGCATGGAAAATGACCCCATAAATTGATTAAGCAAGTATCTGTTGAGCATATACTATATACCAAAAGTTCCCAGCCTCAAAAGTGATCTCCTGAATATGTGTATGTTGTTTGTGTATCTAAGGTGGGAGAAGAGAAGGAATGGTGAGCAGCCAGCCAAGAAAACAGTCAGTTTTACATGCTAGCAAGATCAGAGTTCAGGAAATAGATTCCAAAGCCCAAAAAAGATTTCAAGAGTGCAAGTGTCAACTTGGTGAATGGGCTGACACATGAAGGAAGACAGGCACAGAGGTGGCTTTAGAATTGCTTTGGGCTGGGCACTGGTGGTGCACACCTTTAATCACAGCATTAGGGAGGCAGAGGCAGGCTAATCTCTGAGTTTGAGGTCAGCCTGGTCCAGGATGACTGTGACAACACAGAGACCCCTGTCTTAAAAAACCAAAGAAGAATTGCTTTGGATTGGTTTGATGTTCTTGCCCAGAGAAATTCAAGAGGGATGGGAACTAATGATAGATATTAACAGATTAAAGAATGGAAAGATGATGTTTGACAAAGACTTGAAATTTCTGTACCAACATTAGTCTTCTAATACTTAGTAATTTTTTAAGTTTAAAGGTAAATAAAAGATGCAAGACTAAACATTCACTCACAGCTTCAAGACCAGGAAATTGGAAGAAACGCGAAATGCAACTTTACCTCAAAGTTTGTAGTTATGAAATAGTGTTTCTAAGATCAGAAGGAGAGACAAATCCCACTTTGATTCTTTTAGTTCATAAAAATGAGTATCAAGAGATTAGATTCTGAGAGACAGACAGAGGTCATTGATCATCTTTTGGTAGGAGGGACAGTTTCTCCATTAAAAAAGAGAAAATAATTTGTAGGTGCTGGCACTTTTGTTGTCTTGGAAGTAGGAATACAAAGTCATCCCCTTAATGCAATGTGAAGCCTAGCTGAGAAAGACTGGATGGAGTGTGGGAGGCTTGAGGAGAAAGGAAGGTATGAGATGACCATGTTAGAGTGTTGAGAAGTCAGCTTCTGTTGAATCTGAAATTGAAATTGAATCTGAAATTGGTGTTCATCTACTTTTGACAAAAATGGCAGTTTCACACCAGTAAAGGCTGAGTGAAGAAAGGCACTTTCTGAGCAAGCCTTCTGACTTGAGTCCCATACTGAAACCCACAGATAGGTAGAAGAGATCCAGCTCCACAAAGCTGCCCTGTGACTTCTTTGTACACACTATGACTTCCTCTGTGTGTGTCACACAGTAATAATTATAATAAAGATCCCTTCCAATTACTACTACTCTCTGACCTCTTAGTATAGGTTGGATTCATATCCAAGGTTATCATACTTTTCCCAGACCCCATGGCATATACTTTTCAAAGCAGACTCATGTTGCACTGTTCTTAAACTTCTTCCACTGTCACTCTGGGAAGCACAACTTGTTTTCCAGGTAGAGAATATAATGACAAATTACCTATTACATTATTATATTATTGACAGAAGAGGTGGAAAGACTGGAAAAAGACCTGGAAAAGAAGATGGTGGAAACAGAAGAACTTAAGAACAAACAAGCAAAGTTTCTTCAAGAAATAAAAAATCAAGATAAACTAAATAAGTCATTAAAAGAAGAGGCCATGTTACAAAAACAGAGCTGTGAGGAGCTAGAGAGCGACCTCAACACAAAGAATGAGTTGGTGAGTCTGTTATATGTCGCTTTGGCTGTATTCTGTTAAGGTAGAGAAATTTTCTTCTTAAATTTAAAAACACAGCCGGGCGGTGGTGGTGCACACCTTTCATTCTAGCACTCGGGAGGCAGAGGCAGGAGGATCTCTGTGAGTTCAAGGTCAGCCTGGTCTATGAAGGGAGTTCCAAGACAGCCAGGACTGTTACACAGAGAAACCCTGACTCAAAAAACAAACAAACAAGTAAAACGCAATCCTGACTGTAGCATTGGGAAGATGACCAAGGCTTTGCGAAGTGTAGTTGACTGCAGTATGGTACCCAAAGGCTGATGTGTGAGGTAAGGTGTCCGGCAAGAGGGGAAACATGATGTGCCACACTAGGAGTTGGCCACACTGCTTAGGGTATGTTTAAAATAGCTTCACAGAGAAGACTAGAGATTGTCAGAAGTTTAAAAATGGCAGAGTTATCGAAAGGTTAAACATAGGCACCCTATGTCATGGAGACTCCTTTTCTGTAGAAATGGTAGCAGTAATGTGTAAAAGGAAGCCCATGTATATGCACAAAGACACACACACACACACACACACAGATATATGACATGCTTCTTATTAGCAAAATTTCCAGTAACTAACGTGTCAATCATTGGATATCCATGTAGCTGAAGAGCTGTAATAAGCTGCTACTAAGATGAAGCCAGACTGTCTGTACATGGAAAGGTCCTGGGCGTAGTTTCCTGTGTGAACAATGCCCAGTGGTGAAAACAGTGACTCCAGTGTGAGCCTGCCCAGAGACATGCAAGATGGTATATTTGGGGAAAACGGCAGACCAAGGAAATTTCCAAGCTGACCTTTATGAATCTCTGTAAAGTCTAACTTTTTATAATTTGACTTTATAATTGAAATATGGAGAAGAACATTAAAATGTAGAACACTTTTAGCCAGAAGGCAGCATATTTTGAGAAACTTGAGAGCTCTGGAGAGGGTGAAGGAGATAGTTGTACAGGCTGAAAAGCAGCTCAGGGAACTGTCCCACAAGAAGAGTTAGAGCTCTAATTATATAAATCAGGCCTCAAGAGGTAAACTTAAGATCCAGCAGATGCGAATTCAGGAGACATGTTTTCATTTAGTATTGAATCTGATAGCTATCTTGAACAATAATTAGAATACGTCTGCTGTCCTGAAACAAGCAGACATTAGCTGTGTGCTTGTGCTTCAAGAAAGATCTTTTTTGTTTGTTTGTTTTGCTTTGCTTTGCTTTTCTGAGACAGGGTTTCTCTGTGTAGCCCTCACTGTCCTGGAACTCACTATATAGACCAGGCTGGCCTCAAACTCAGAGATCCACCTGCCTCTGCCTCTTGAGTTCTGGGATTAAAGGTGTGTGTCACCAGCACCTGACCAAGAAGCCTTTCTATCACAGACGATATCATTTTGTAAATTTATACACATACATATTTGTGTGTGCACATGTGGAGGTCAGAGGACAGCTTGCAGTTTTCACTTCTCTCCTAGTACCGTGTGGACCCCAGGTATGGAACTCAAATTGTAAGGTTTGAGGGCAAGTGCCTTTACTCACTGGGCCACCTTGCCCTCCCATTTTGTTCCTTTTTCTGTATTTTTTGTTATAAGTTATATACTCTTCTGCAAGTTATACTATTTTTACTGTTAATATTTTTAAAGCATTCTTATACATAATTAACATTTATTTTAACAAATTCAGATCACAAAAATAAATGCAGTGGAAATGAAGGCTCTTTCTTCTACCTCACTCCCCAGGGGTTTTGTTTTCTATGCTTCTGTACTATATATGTAATAAGTACACTATACAATGTAATAATTTTGTGAATATTTTTAAAAGGAATTTTTTAATACATATATGTATCTATAGACAATATAGATACTTCATTTTATTTTTAACAACACAGTTAAAGCTCTCCAAGTTAAAATATACTATATATATCAATCTTCCTCGATATTTTAAAAGTCTATTTTGTTTATTTTGTTCCATTTATGGCTCTTCCGTATTTTAGACAATTCTGCAGACAGATATTTAGATAGCTGTTTTTGCTTTTGAAAATAGTACTACAGAGAAAAGTGTGTGTGTATCTTACACGCTCCCACTAGTATTTCTTTAGCATAGATCACATCAAGTGGAACTGCTGTGCAAAATTCTTTTGAAATTTTGATAAATGGGACCAGCAGGATAGCTCGGCAGGTAAAGGATAAAGACCCGAGTTCAGTCTCTGGAACCTACATAGTAAAAGAAGACAGCTAGCCCCTGCAAGTTGTTATCATAACACACAACATACACACTCACCACGCACCATGGACTCACTCACGTACACATACATAGACACACACACATACACACTACAAACATACAATTAAATATTTTTGATAAATGTCGGTGTCCACTTAAGAAAAAGCTTATTACTAATTTGTGTTTTCCACAGCAGTAAGTAAAAGGGTCCAGCTTGGTTTATTATTGTGAACTTGCAGGAGAGAAAAAAAAATGGAATCTTGTTAGTTTTATTTTTATATTTTTCTAACTGCTGGAGGAGTGAATATTATATATGCATTTATTGATCATTTGTCTTTCCTTTTTAAATTACCCATTTCATTATTTTGTCTCTTTTTGTTCTCTGAAAGTACTACTATATATTTAAAAGGAGAATTCTAGGTCTTATTTGGAGAGCTTATATTTCCCTTTGTCTCTTGCAGGATATGTGATCGCTCCAATTGTATAATGATTTGCAGTTTTATTAAGCAGTTGTTCATGCACTAAACTAGTTCCTTTATAAAAGAAAAACTGTGTTGGATTAAGTCTTTGGGCATCCATTTAAATTGTAGCGGACCCTATCCCCACCATCTGGAAATACTAACCCAACTTCCTCTTTGTTGTTTTGCAAGTTATTTAACTCTTACCTTTCAGTGTTCTTATTGTTTAAATGGAATGTTTTCTTGTCCGGCCACCATCATGGCCTTGTGAGAATTTAGTAAGGTTCCAAATGGGAAAATAACTTCAAGTACCAAGTAATACAGGGTGGTAAATTTATACTCAGTGATGCCATGTGTCATCACCAGTCCTGATAGCTGTATCCTTCGGTGGTGAATCATCAATGTAGAAATACTAGTGGCAACAGAGCCTAGCTCGCTCCAGTGTTCTCTAGGTAATGTGCTTCTGTTTGCTTCTGCTCTTAGCCCTTATCTTGGTTTCTTGCAGGCCTTTTTCTGCTGAGTCTTTATTCTTCTTTAAGGTAGTTCCTTCAAGACTGAACTGCACACTGTTTTCTGTGGTCTTGCATGATAACTTGTATTAATATGCTTGTTTCCATTTTAAGTCTTGAAACTGGTTTGTCTCTTTGGGAATGTGTTTGTGTAATATGTTGTAAATGACTGTATATAGGAGAGGAGATTTGAATGTGAGAGGAGATTTGTGTTATTGTTCCTGCAGTCATCTCTTGATTACCCATAGCCAATATGCTACTCGCATACTTCCCTTGGCTCCCGTGTTGCTCTCATTTATGCACTTCTCCCAAAAGATGTTTGCTGGGGACTTATCATCATCGAAGTCCAGAGCTATGAAAAGCACAAAAATACTTTGAAAACAAAGGTTATTTTGGAAAGTAGTCCAAACATGTTCTCTGCTTCCATTAGTGTTTGCCCTTGTTTTGGCTTTGCTTTGGGGGGAGAAACCTGAACATAAGTTGAGGCTGTTGATTGTAAATTGTATCTTTGAGACTCCGTCTTTTGAGCGTTCAGTAGAAACCTAAATAAGGGCAATGTGTTAGACAGCCTGCAAGAGGACACTGAAGGCAGCATGGGACAAGGTGTTAGACTTGAAACCAGGTTACGCGGATGTGCACACTGCCTTTCAACCGGTTGCTCAGTTAGGCAGGTTGACTAGCCTCTCTGAGCAGCTTTATCACCTTGGAATGGAGTTGTGGAGCCTGGGTGGGGTAGCAGATGTAGGTCACCCCCTCTGAGAGCTCAGGTCAGTGCTCCTCCTTTTGATGGGTATTCAGGAGGTGACTGCATGCTCACTCATGCACGGTTTTCATTTCCTGCCCTTGTAAAATGTTTGTGCGTATGCTTTCTTCTTTTCAACTTGCATTTTGATACTCGTGAAGTATTTCTGCATGCTTTTCTGTTTGAAATCAACTCTCAGACCCCCCACCCCCCCCAAAAAAAAGAAATGAAAAAGAAAAAAATTACTTAGTTGACCTTTAAAATGAACTCAAAGGATTAGTCTGATAGTCAGGTAACCTGTGACAAGGCAGTTCAGCAATCTGAAACTCAACTTCTGCGTCTATAAATTCAGAAAATTAGATTATCCTTACATTTTCCTCCCAGCTCCAGAATATCCAAGTGTAACCAAAAAGTTGTAATTAGGGTAAAGTTACTATATTAAAAATTACTAATACCACATATTTGCATCTGATTGAACTTATTTACATTCCTTACCTCTCTGCTACAAAGAGTAATGTTCTGGCCTGGCATGGAGGCACATGTCTATAACCCTCATGCTGAAGAGGCTGGCAGACATAGTGAGACTCCCCAACACACACGCTCACAGCTAAGATTTATTGATTAGAGCCAATCTTTCTCCTCCTCTGTAAAATGTCCCTCAGTGAATTGAAGCAATCATTAAAATCAAAGAGTAAGGAAAGAGTTATGTTCAATAAATTAGTACTAATAATTGGGAAACCAGGAAGCATGTACTACAAAATGACTGATATTTATTTTCCTGTTTAGATGAACAACCTAAATTGCTTTTTAAATCTTGACTCACTATATCCTGAAATAGCATACAAACTTCAAAGGTCTTCTGAAACTCACTGATACTGATTCATCTCATGTTGACCAATAGCTAAAACAGAAAACAGTGGAACTAACTCGAGCCTGTCAGAAGCAGTATGCGCTGGAGCAGGAGCTGGCCTTTTATAAAATCGATGCTAAGTTTGAGCCACTAAATTATTACCCATCAGAGGTGAGTTTATGTTTTAGCAACCTAAAATTAGAGCCAGGATTGGGGGATGTAGGGGGAAGACATGTGATAGGAACATTAAAGGGATTTTACCATTAATTGCTCCATTTTTTAAAAAAAATATTTGTATTTGTGTTTGTATGTATAGGAGAGGGCATATATTTCGAGGTTAGACAACTTTTGGGAGTCATTTCTTTGCTTCCACTGTGTGGTTCCCAGAGATTGAACTCAAGTGGTCAGGCTTGGCAGCAGGTGCCTTTGCTACAAGTACCTTTACCTGCTGAGCCAGCTCTCCAATCTTACTCCATTCTCTTGATAAAAGGATATCACCAAAGTAAACTGTATTTTGGTTGAGTGTGTGAGCTTGGCTCAGGGAGTTAAATAAAGTAATGTTCTAAAAAGATAAAAGTTCCCAGGAGATCCTTGCTGAGAGCCACGTCTATAATTGAAAACAGTTGTCCTAACCATCTGTTATCTGAGGCGGATCAATTAAATCCAAACTTTCAACAGAAGTGCTTCAGCACCTGAGTGGCAGCCTCCTAGCTGCTGGTTCACTGCTCTCTAGAGTCAGTATTCGGCAGCCGTTATTAGTAAAAACGCCATAGAATCAAGGAACCGCCAAATGACTAGTAATTCCAACAGTATCATGTGTTGTTTAGGTTTTAAAATTTAAAATTAATATTAGATTGAACTCTTACTTATATTGGCCAGGAAACAACATAATACGCATGGGCTTTTGACTGGAAGATTAAACAATAGTAAGCAGTCATATAGCTGTGAGTAGTCTTTAGTCAGCTAATCCAAGCTTATGTGCTAGTAGAAGCAAGAGTCCTTTTGAGACCATTTTTAGTTCTAGTTCCTTTTTGCTATATGAAAAGAAGATAAAGAATAGCATTAAATCTTTTAGATTCTAGGCTATAATATTAATATGACTAATTGTATGATGTGTTTACCACTAATAAGATGAACAATGTCATTTGACTGGAAGTTGCTTCTTAATCCACAGATCTATTGCTATGCTTGCTTTTAGGATGCTGAAATTGACAAATCCCCAGATGAAAGCCCTTACATTGGCAAATCCAGATACAAGAGAAACTTGTTTGCCACCGAGAGTTTCATTGTCAGCGATGCCCAGGCTGTTCAGATCCAGAAGATGGTACCTGGAGGACAGCTTAGAAACAAGCACACGCCCCTGAGAGTCCATGCCTCATCGGATGTGCAATTGGAAGACACAGGAAAAAAAATAAGTGCAGGTTAAACAAAGTTATTCTTAAATTCTTAAAAAGTATGAGACTGGGGATGTGGCCCCATGTGGAACATTACCGGGCATGCGCAAGTCTTTTGGTTCAGTGTCCATCACTGCAAAAAGTAATGTATACAGGCTTAATACAGGCAGACAGCCAAAATAACTGGATATACAAGTTGATTTTATCTTATAATTTTTTTGTTTTTGTTTTGTTTTGAGGCAGGGTTTCTCTGTGTAGTCCTAGCTATCCTGGAACTCAGTCTGTAGACCAGGCTGACCTCAAACTTATAGAGATCTGCCTCCCTCTGTCTCCCAAGTGCTGAGGTTAAAGGCGTGTGCCACTACCGCCCGGCTTATCTTATTTTTTTTTTTTTCTATTCTAACTGGGTGGACTTCTTTCTTTTCTTTTTTTTTATATTAATACCATTCAAAATTTCCACTTCCTCCCCTCCTCATTGATACTACTTATGGTTTAAATGATACATATAAAACCTAAGTACTGATCAATGAGCCTGCTTTTTAAATGATTCCTGTTGTGGTGGAGAATCAGGTTTCTGACAGTAACTGGTGGCAACATGTTCAAGGAATCAATCTTACAACAATAACAGTCAGGCGGTGGTGGTGCACCTCTTTAATCATGGCACTTGGGAGGCAGAGACAGACGAATCTCTATTTCAGCCAAAGATACTGCACAGTGAAACCCTGTCTGGCGGGGGTGGAGGGGTGGGGGAGGGTATAAATCACATCCTGCCAACAGGCACTCATTTAGAGGTGTAGTTAATAGTCACTGAAGCGAGTGATTCTTCATGAAGACAAAACCCTTCCAATAAGTTGAAGCAGAGCACTCTCCTTAGGCTTCGCCCTCAGGCTGGCCTCTGACTCTCCCTTCAAACAGTAGTGTGCATTCCCCAGTCTAATTCAGGGGATCTTGCCACGCCTGGCAAACCAGTACAGGAAGAAGTTAAGCCAAGAGGTACTGAAGGTACTCTGCCAGTGTTAGCTCACTGGCTGTGTGGGTGTGACTGGAGTCTGTGCACCTTGCCCCACAGTGGAGCCGCACAATGGACTTGTGATCCACTGTGGGGCTCCCATCAATCCGATGGTTAGCACGTCCTTGCATAGCTGATAGTTACATAGGCGGCAAGGTGGACACTGATTTATTTTTTATGTGTATTTTATGGAAAGCTGTGGCAGGAGAAAGCAGAAGTAAATGAGACATGGGTACAGGGGGTTTTGTGAGAAGATGAAGTGTGAGAAAAGGAAAAAGGCAAAATGAAGTCTGTGGTAGAAAGTAGTAACTGATTTGAGGCCCCCTCCAGAAGGAAGTTTCTGTTTGTCTTAATTTCTTTGTGTTACTTCCCTTTTCTTCCATTGTATTCATTGGTGCTGGGAAACAAGCTTAGGGCCTTGTGCACACTGCAAGTGCTCTTCCTCAAGTCCAGCTCCAGCCCTCCCAGAGCAAACTGCTTTTGTTTCAGTTTTTGTTTTTTTCTGAGACAGGATCTCTCTATTGTGCTGGCTGTCCTGGAACTCACTCTGTAGATCAGGCTGGCCTCAGACTCACAGAGATCACCTTTTCTGCCTAAATGCTGGGATTAAATACATGTGCCACCATGCCCAGCTCCAAATGGTGAACTTGTTGAAACTGAGTTCCATCTATAACAAAGGGGATGGTTGTGGTGCTGTAGTTAGTATCCTGGTGACATGTGAAGTACCTACTTTGCAGTGAAGTCCTCTTAAAACAGTTCACAGTGGTAAGAGAAGTCAAGTCCTTTTCATGTTAAGAATTATACAAATAAAAGGATCAATTATAGTTTTGTAGAACAGAGCTGAATAGAGATGGAAGCTATTGTAAGTAATACATTTCTTCTTCAGTGGAACAACTTAACTAGGGTGGCGTTCGTTGCAAAGTAAATGTAGTAAAAAAATCTTAGATGTCAGCATTTTTCTCATGTGTGTATATTAGAATTGTTTTAAATTTCAGCACAAATTCAACTGTCAGAACTACACCATGATATAGAAACAGCAGAACAGAAAATATTACGGGCTAGTCAAGAATTTCAGCAGCTGGAAGAAGCTATACAACAAAAAAAGGTATGTGGAAGCTTAACTAAAAATAATTTTTAATGCGATTTTGCTTCCTTTCTGTAGAATTGCAATAGTGGTGCATGCCATTAATCCCAGCACTCAGGGCGCAGAGGCAGGAAGATCTCTGTTAGTCAAGGCAAGCCTGGTCTACAGAGTGACTTCCAGACCAGCCAGGGATATATAGTCATATTAAATCACTTTGAAATGAATTGTTGGATACTTTTAGAGTCAAATATAATGAAAGTATTTCATTCATGATGACATCCTATTAACATTTCACAAAATGTGTAGAAATAAATTACTTAAATTTGACACCAGATGGGGCTGAGAGATGGGTCAGCAGTTAAGATCTACTTTTCCAGAGGACCAGAGTTTGGTTCCCAGTACCCATGTTGGGCAGCTCACAACTGCTATAACTACAGCTCCAGAGGGATCCAACTTTTCTGGCCTCCACGGGCATCTGCCCTCACATGCACAAACCCACATGCAGATACACACATAATAAAAATAGTAAAAACAGATATTTAAAAATTCACACAAGAAGATCTATCTGGTCTCCTATACGTGTTACTTCTTGACTCATCTCTTTTAACTAAGCCTCTTCACCTGGGACTTAGTTTAAGAACCAAAGAACATGTCTGCTATGGCATGAAAATTGTCAGACACAGGGTATGTGTTGCGGGGAGGGGGGGCGAGGGGGTGACAACCGAAAACTACTTTCAGCAGTTGCCAAAGTATTTCATGCAGTTCAAATCCATGTTGTAATTGCATAGGTTAAAATTTTTTTTTAGATTTTTTTTTTTTTTTGATACAAGGTCTCACGTAGCCCAGGATGGCCTGGAAATTGCTATATAGCTGAGGATAACCTTGAACTGCTTATTCCTGCATCCTCTTTCCAAGTGCTGGGACAAAATGTGTAGACCATCATCCTCAGTCAGCACTACACATCTGAAAAGCATTGCTACAGTTGTTTAAATCGCTACCTTAAAGATTGGTGGTGGTGGTGCACACCTTCAGTACTTGGTGGAGAGGCAGGCAGGTCCCTGTGCGTCTGAGGGCAGCCTGATCTACAGAGTGAGTTCCAGGACATCCAGAACTGTTACACAGAGAAACCCTCTTTTGAAAAACCAAAATTGATTGATTAATTGTTTAATTTAGGGGCCCATGGTTCCAGAGGGTTAGAGAGTCCATGACCTTTGTGACAGTAGGCAGTCAGGCATGGTACTGGAGCAGTAGCTGGGAGATGAGATGGTATCTTGAGATACAACACAAGGCAGAGTGATCTAACTAGGAATGGCTTGTTCTTTTGAAACCTCAGAGCCTGCCCCCAGTAGTACACGTCCTCCAGCAATGCCAAACATTTATTCTTCCCAAACATCTGGAAATCAAGTATTCAAATATATGAGCCTGTGGAAACCATTTTCATTCAGCCCACCACACCTACATCTCTTATTTTGCATGTTTCTATGACATAGAGTATTTTTTTAAGATTATAGTCATTAGCTTATAAATTGTTATTGCTCTCCTTTGTTAATTACATGCTGGGGTTTGGGGAGGATTAGATTTCAGAAGCAGAGAAGGACCTTCTTCTCAAACAGTTGAGTGGTAGAATACAACTGCTAAACAAATTACGCCAGGAGGCTCTGGATCTAGAAATGCAAATGGAAAAGCAAAGGAAAGAAACTGCCGAAAAGCAGGAGGACATCAACAACCTGCAAGTAGCCATAGAGAGCCTGGACTCCAAAGACCCAAAGCACGTGAGTAAATACGAAATCTTGACTTGTTCTATGGAGACTGAAGATTCTGTGTCGGTAGTACGTGTCTTATCATTTTTAATGGCAGAACCCGTTCTAGTCTCTTAGTTTGATACGCTAAGAGTTAAGTGATGTGTGTGTATAATTTATATATGTATATGTAATTAGATACAAATATAGGCTATGTATTCATATGAAACATTTACATCCAAAACAAAACAACCTAAAAATCTTGAAAGAGTGGTTTTCAATAAATGAAAGTACTTTTGGGGGGGCAGTGATTGAATTTCATTGTATTTTAGAGCAAGAGAGACTTGATTCAAAGTGCCCTGTAAATTTTTTTTTCTCCTTAAAGGCAGGAAGTGCTGAAGCAGGGGCAGGGGCAGAGGTCTTTTGTACCTTTTTAATTCTTGATGCAAATATTCTACAAAAACTGATGTTTCTGTTCATTTTATTCTTAAAAATAAAACATCTCTCTGGAGTTTGTCATTCTAAGTTGTGAAGTCAGATGTCTGAATGGTAGAGTCAGACTCTTGGTTTTTGTCAGTCAGTACCCTATAAATCTTACTAATGGCTTCTATTTTAGCCACTATTCTGAAATAGGTAAAACTGTTTCCTTCGTGTTTCCTTGTTGCAGTTTGAATTATAAATTAAGAAACATGTAAGATGTCTGGACTAGCAGGAATAAACTTTAGTGTGGCAGAGCAGTGCCCTAGAGCTGCTTTAAGTACTTGACAGACGGGTCACTCTTTAAACACGCCAGTTTCCCGCCCGTGTGCCAGGGCGCAGACATCTAGGCCAGGTAGTTTTGACAAAGGATTACCTTATAGGCTTAAAATACTTCCCCCCAAAACGCTAAGACTTAGTATTCTCACTGAAAGTATGATTTTTAATTGTGTGTATGCATGCATATGTAGTAAACATGCACATTTGTGTGCATGCATGTTGTATATATGTGGAGGCCAGAAGTCATTCTCAGTTTTCAGCTTCATTTGTTTTCTTCTTATTCAAGTATTAATTTATTTGTTCATCCTTTCATTTTTAAGACAGGATCTCTTACTGAATCTGGAGCTAAGTAATTCAGCGAGGCTGGCCCGTGAGCTTCAGAGATTGTCCTGCCCCGGAGGGTGGGGGCGGGGTATGGCCTTGTGCTGTGCCTGCCTTACTCTAGTGCTGGGTGTTTGAGTTCAGCTTCGCATGCTCATAGGCCAATCTTCCAAGCCCTAAAAGTCTTGGTTATTTTTGAAAATTTTTGTTAGAAGAAAACTCAGAGGTTTTTAAGTACTGTGATGTATATTGTAAGTACCATGATGTATAATAGTCAGTAGTATTTTGCTTTTTTACATTATGTATTAAGAGTCATGCATCTGTGTAAGGGTTGTCCTAACAAGAGAAAACTCTATCCCCTGGGAAGCAGAAGGAAGCAGCCTGATGGTCCCGAGTCCGATTGCTTCAGCAAATGACATGACTTCCTGAGCTGAAGGGGAATTTACTTTCACTGTTTCTGTGGAGTATCACAGAGGAGAGGCTAGACATTCAGGAGTTGTGGCTTAAGTCTTGAGGGCAGCTAGAACCCATCTGCTCAGGTAGGAGTAAGGCGCACAAACCCTGTCCCCACACCAGAGCACGGCATACTCAGTTCACCTCATCTCAAGCTCTCACTTTGCAGAGGGTAGAAATGTGACCTGGAAAACTAAATTGTCTGCCTCTGATCACTAAACTACTACAACAGCCCTTTCCTCACAAAAGGATTAAAATTCAAAATTAAAGATAAAAAATGAAAAATAAAATCTTAGCTCGGAACCAAGCCTAGTCAGATGTTTTTTAAAAGTACATTTCATTAGGTTTCAAAAGAGAAAATAGCATTTAAAAATCGAGTCCTATTTCAGTAACCAGCTAAAGGAACAGTTTTCCCAGCTAGAGGAACAGTTATCACTGGGCAAACAATACAAATCTGTGCTGCTTTCCTAGAGGGAATTAGCCTAGTGATCTTTCAGCCTCTGGGCGTGATTGGCCCTCGGGAGCTTCCTGTGTTTTGATTTAAAGTTGGGGGCGGGGCCTGTTTACGGAGCCTGCTGGTGACTGGACTAGCTCCGCTGTCACTCACGCTGGTTTGTGGCGCTGGGAGGGTTACTTAGGCACAGAGGCTCTTGCAAAGATGTGGCTGTCAGAGTGGGAAAGACACATGGATCTGAAGACGAGCTTAGCTTTCCGCCCACTATTTTTGTTCTCCACGTCTCAGCTGTAAACAGAACAGATTCGAAGTTAAGGTATGGTCATTCTTCTGTGTACAGAGAAAGGGCTTGGAAGGAGGAGGGGCCAGGTCTGTAAGTTCCTGTTTTCACAGTAACTCTTTTGTGAGCTCCACTGCAGGAAACCGCAGGATCTGCCGTCCTCCATGTGTTTACTGCCCTGCATGCACATCTTGAACCACATGTTTGCCCTGCATGTAGAGGTTGCAGTGTACTTTTAACGGGGAATTTTAAAAGTTGTTGGTTAAGATATAAGTATAGTAGGGGTTTTGTTCATCCTTGAGCCACCCAAGTCTAGGGAGTAGTACAGTTAGGATGTAAACTCTTTTCTGCAGTAACAGTGTCCAGAGATTTAAGGTGAGTATTTGGGGGGTGTAGGGAAAAGTAAGATTTGAATATCCCATTAAATTTATCCCTGGTAAAATAACAGCTGACGGTGACAGTGGTGTTGCCAGTCATTTGTTCTCCACTTGGAAGAAGACCTCTCCAATGAGGGCATTTCAGTGTTTGTTGTTCAGGCCCTGACTGTTCTGACGAGTTCTCCCTCAGTTAGTGTTCTAGTGTTCTGAACCTGTTGGGAAGGGTGGGATGAGTGGGAAGGCAAAATTTCTCTTGGGAATTACAGTGTATGTGAACTTTTGCCTAAGGAGATCCAGTCACGACGTTTGATTGATCTGAGACTCGGGCTTATATTTGTGAAATGAAAGGTTAGACAAGATAATTGGTTCTCTGTTTTCCCCAGCACACCTGAGCGGGGAGATAATCCATTACCTTCAGGTAGCAGTGACCGGCTAATGCCGTATTGTCAGGAGCAAGAGGGTGTGGGCCTGTGGGTCCTGCATTGACTACCCTCACCATCCCCAGTTTGTTATATCTATATGTCAGATAGGAGATAGAAAGTAAATGGGAATTCTGAGAGTTTGTTTATCACAAGTCTCCATTTCCCCAAAAACCTTCTAAAGTACACATAAATGTATTTTTCACATTAAAAAGACATTAGTTATCAGTAATAAAACTCCACACCCCAAAATTTTGATATAGAAACCCTTAAGTAAAATCTCTTAGAGTCCTTGTACACAGATATAACACTTATTTATATTTTGGAATGTACTTTTGGATGCTTCCTCTAAATATACTGTTTTTCAATATAGCTAGGGTTCGGGAATCCTTTTTAAAAGACATTTTAATGCTGTGCATATAACACTGAAGTTTTCTATAAGACCTAGCAGTTGTGACCTTGAACGAATGGCTTACACTCCCTGATCAGTTCTGTTTTCTCATCTTATTTCAAGCCATTCTGGGGTTTTAACAGGAACTACTTACATGAAAATAGTACAGGGCCTAACTCAGAGCAGATGGAATTGTAACATTTTATTTTCTATTCTTCCTTTTAAATATTGCTAAAGATTGTTATTTTTAAGAGTTTTAAAAACTTGGGTTGTATTCATTTTTTCCCCCTAAATTCAGTCCCATATGAAAGCTCAGAAAAGGGGTAAAGAACAGCAGCTTGACATTATGAACAAGCAATACACACATCTCGAGAGCCGCCTGGATGAGATTCTGTCTAGGATTGCTAAGGAGACTGAAGAGATCAAGGATCTTGAACAACAGCTTACTGACGGTGAGAACTGAAGTGTGATTTAACGGAACAGTCTCAGTGCTGGCTGCAGTTACTAGAGAGACTGTCTAGAACTTGCCTGGATACAGTCCAGGTCTCAGCACTAATACTTGATGGGGAAGTTTTGCTGAGATTATCCAGAATGTCTAATAAAATTTAAAGTATGTTGTATTATTGTGGTCTGTTACATTGATGACAATGGGCAAGAAGTCAGTATGATCAGGAAGAGCTTGGTCATTGATTATCTTCTATGGCATAAAATCCTTTCAGAGCCTGTTTATGTAGGAGACTCATCTGGTTACAGAAAGGAAGAAATCTGGGCCCACATTTGCAAGGTACTTTTAGAAGGGAACATTTTAGAATAGTGGTGTATTAATAAGAGCCTGAGCTCAGTGTAAATCAAGATTCCATTCCCTGATTGCCATCCTGTGTGTCATCTTAAACTGGTTACTGTCTCGATAATTAGTTGTTGAGAGAAGTTTTCCATGCAGTTTTCATAAAGTATCTGCAAATAGCATGTATCAGCATACACTTAAAATACTTAGTAAAAATGTATGTGCATGGATGTTTTGCCTGCAAATATGTCTGTATACCTTGTGCATGCAGTGCCCATAGAATGTAGAAGACAGCGTCAGTTCCCCTGGGGCTAAAGTTACAGCCATGTGTGAGCTGCCATGACAAGCAGCCAGTTGCTCATAACTGATGGGCCATTTCTCCAATTTCCATGATACCTTTTTTGAACCCTTCAGGCTGTATATTCTGCTGCCAGTCTGAGAGTGGTGTTAGTGTTATAGATCGTGGTCTTGTTTTGTGTGTCCAGTCTGAGACTGGTGTTAGTTTTATATATTGTGGTCTTGATTTGTGTGTCCAGTAAGAACTCATAGTTTTATTATACCTTTTTATTACTTTAGCCGAGATTAAAGTTTTATAGCATTAGGCATTCTGGAAATATCTGTCATAAATATGCTTGTCTTATTGTATATCTGCAAAATATTCCTATATTATAAGAAATAAATTATTCTGTCTTGAAAGATAAAGTAAATAAGAAACTTAGAATTTCACTATGGGCTAATAGCTAATCACTAAGGAGACAAAGTACTTCTAAAATACATATTATCTCTTTATTTTCATCTTGCATAGGCCAGATAGCTGCAAATGAAGCTCTGAAGAAGGATTTAGAAGGTGTCATCAGTGGGTTGCAAGAGTACCTGGGGACCATCAAAGACCAGGCAGCTCAGGCCCAGAAGGAGTGTAGGAAGCTCCGGGATGAGAAGGAGACATTGCTGCAGAGACTGACAGACATCAGGCAGGAGAGGGATGAACTGGAAATAGTTGCCATGGATGCAGAAAATATGAGAAAGGTATGTTCTTTCTGTCTGTTTGTTTGAACCAAGAAATAAATGCTGTCAAAATTTAGCTTGGAACAGTGCCACTGTAAGTCACAAAAGCGTTAGTGGCTATTTGGTTTGTGTCCTTTAAAGGTGAGGACGATGACAACTACTGCTTCATATTCTGCATACTTGGAAGCATTATTTTTCCTTTACTCAGACAGTTTATTTTAACTTTGTTCCTTTTCCCTAAAGATTGCCAAATAACTAAAGATCAATAAATTGTATCTACTAAAAGTATTGTATGAAATGTTTATGTTGGGTTTATTCAGTAAAATTACAGGAAGAACATGGTTCATCTTACTGTTGTTACTTGGTAACTGACATCATTTTACAGCTAATAGACATAGGTTGTAAGTTCTAGCTTTCATTTGTTGCCCATCCTCATCACTTTGTGGATTTCCCTTTGCTGTTTTAGTAACCTTTTTCAGATAAAATCTTACTATAGTCAGATGGGGGTGGGGCACACCCTTAAACCTAGCACTTGTGAGGCAGAGGCAGATGGATCTCTGAAGCTGAACGTGTCCAATGAGGGAAATTGTGAGTTTGATAATCCCAGGCTAACTCCAAAAGTGTATTCTAAGATTATTCTTTATTGTAAGGGAAAAACTCATGGAACAGGAACGAGGGCCCAACCTCAAGGTGTGGAGCGTGGGAACAAGAGAGAGAGCTGGGCGAGCCAGCAGCTTTCTCTGGGTATCCAAAAGTCATGCCCCAACCTGGTTCAGCCTCTTAAAGGTCATTGGCTGAAGGAGGTTTCCCATTACCTTCTGCTTTTGTCTAAATGAGAGAGTTCCAAACCCAAAATACAAAACTATATACACTATTTTACCATACAAAATTAGAATTACAAACAGCATGAACAATATTAAGCAAGGAATATATGCTAAATGTTTTAATAAACATTCTATCCTAAGGAGTCTTGTATTTGAAATGGCTTAGCTAGATCGTAAGAGAAAAGTAACTACTACTATCTAATCTTCAACCCCATCGAAGGCCTGAGAAGGGAGATAATATTACTTGAGTAGGCAGGAAGTGCAATCAAGCAGCTCCCAAAATGTGCAGTAGATGACAGAGACAACTGGCTGCCTGAATAATCACCCAAACTTTCATTGGCAATATTGAAGCAACCAACTTTGGCTAAGGCCTAGAGTAACTGACAGACCATTTTCAGAGGGGGGATATTTTCAGAACCATCTTACCTTGTCTTGGCAAGGTTTGGCAATCTTTTTTTCCTGTATCCTATCCTGCTTGTTCAGTCCGGATGCCATGCACTTTGCCAGTTGTCAAGGCATGGGCAGTTCCTTGCCCAAAGGCCAGTTGTACCAAGAGGAAAACAAGATCTGAGTGGAGTGTCTTTGGTGCTCAACATTGTCTCAGGAATAGATTGGTGCTACCAGGAGCAATCATGTCTCACATCAACAGAACCCTAAGTTATTTAAATGCCATGCTCTACAGATCTTTGAAGTGGTTGAAGATTATCTATGTAGAATACAATCTCTGTGTATCTAAAGAACCTAATTAGTCTCATATAAGTATGACAAACATGAATGACTATTGACCTATAATACTTAATAGTATGCCTATTATATATAATGCCTATAGAACATAAAGACTAAGAAAGACTTCATACAGAATATTAAACAATCTTTAAACAACTGCAGTGAATAAGGACAATGATCTTAAAATATAAACAATGTATAAATGTCTTGATCAGAGGTAATAATATATAATGCAATATGATAAATTTATCCTAAAAATATCAATATACAAAATGTCTTAAACAGATATAGAAACATGCATGCATATACTGTGATAAAATAACTGCATAGGTATATAAATATTGTAAACAGAATTAGGAGCATATTCAGTATAACAAATGTAATATGAACTTATACAAAATACAAGAATCTGTACCAATGTAAATTGTCCATAAATAAAAGCTCACAAGTATTCACTCTATTACTCACTATTATTAGTGTGAGTAACTTCACACTAATTTACCTATTATCCCATTCAACATCACCCTTATTTTTCAAGGAGATCTCTAGGTCTACTTAATTTCCATCCCAACCCCCAACTAATAATCAACCCCTAAATGGTGTGCCTAACCTTGAGGACAAACTTTGTTGGGAGAGGGGATGTTGTCTTCTAGAATTGCTTCCAGCTGTCATGGGAGCAATGTCCTTTCTGTGGGATCCTGTAAAAGTAAACTGATGGTTAAGTTTCAAGATTACTGTCTTGTGTAATTGCAAATGGTCTCTGAGTAGTCGATAGGTTTTTCTAAAGTTCTTATTTGGAGTTCTGGCCAGAACATTGTAACAAAGTGAACCATTTCAGCAGTTGGTACCCAAAAACCGGTCTTAGAGTAGCACTATCAGCATTGTGATGTCATATCAGCTCGGTGTAGGCATTGTTATGGGACCCCATCTTCTTCCTGGAACATCAAATATTACTGCAGGAAAATCTACTGTTCATTGTGGAAAGCTGAAACATTATTCATATGGACATGAAATATACAATATAGACAAAATAGGCGTGGAGATGAGTAAAATTTTTTTCCTAAATTCTTTCTTCTTTCTGTCCCATACCAGATGGCTCCTGACATGAGACAGAAAGTCTGAATTTTTTTTTTAACAACTTGTTTGGATTTAGAGAAGGATAGCCATTCCATCTCCAAAGCCAGCTTTATATATATAATGAATTTTTTTTTCATATAACCTGTCCTCATGGGTCATATTCCTTTTTGCTTAGTGGTCCTTTCTGGATAGTTATTTTTTTTCCCCTTTAGGCATACAAATGTCCAAGGTCCCTTGACTTTTCAAGGATGTGTAGTTTCCTATATAGACAAGAACATAGCCCTGCCCCAGCCCTTATGAGGTTTCCTTACCACCTGTATGGTTATCACCTCTGTGGATGAGCTGTCATTTCTCTTTCTCAAGAGTTTCTCTTTTTCAAACTAAATCTTTATTAATTTTTATAGTATCCCTAGTTTTTCTTCTCCTGTGGAAACAAGAGCGAAACCCCTTTCCCAACATAGCACATCTCCTTATTTCCATTGTGAGGTCCACACATCCTTGAAATACATCAGCTGATTTAATTCAGAAGACTTTCCTATTATCCAATTTATCTCTGCTGCCATTGTTCCTTTCTCATTAGCATTAAGAAAATTCAAGGATAATAAAATACTACGCAATCTATTTCTGGGTGTATTTTCCATCCCTTTCTGTTCGTTTAGCATACCATTTATAGTTTAGTTTGATCTTCCTCATCTGACCTGTAAGATTATTTGGTATACCTGTAATATGCTTTATATTATAATAAGCAAAACTGTTTGAATTTCTTAAGATACATATACTGGACCATTGTCTGTCTTTATTTGTGCAGGAATACCCATGATGGCCATAACTTCTAGTAAATGTGTGATTACTGAATCAGCTTTTTCTGAGCTCAAAGCAGTTGCCCATTGAAAACCTGAATAAGTGTCAATGGTGTGGTGTACATATTTTAATTTTCCAAATTCTGTAAAGTGGAATACATCCATCTGCCAGATTTCATTCCTTTGAGTACCCTTTGGGTTACTCCCAGCAGGTAACGGTATTTGGTTATAGAAAGCAATTAGGACATCTCTTTATAATCTCCTTAGCTTGTTGCCATGTAATAGAAAACTCTTTCTTTAAACCTTTGCTATTTGATTTTTTTGTGAAATTATGAGGCCTTTAGCACACTTCCAATCAATAATTGATCAATTTCTGTATTACCTTGTGCTAGAGGCCCTGGCAGACCTGTATGGGGATCAGTTGTGTGTTATGTATATGGGACAAAGCCTATTCCTGATTATGTCTTGAATCTGAATGAATAATGAAGTCAATTCTGTATCATCTGGTATAAATTAAGTGGTTTCAATATGCAAGACAAGTCTTTCTGCATATTGTGAATCAGTAACTATATTGAAAGGTCCTTTAAAATCCCTTAGTACCATGAGAATAGCATATAATTCTGCCTTTTATGCAGAATTATAAGGGCTTTGTTCCACCTTACTTAATTCTTCTGATCTGTAACCTGCCTTTTCTGATTTATTTGCATCAGTATAGAATGTATGGGCTCCAGTTATTGGTGCATCATGTACAATTTGGGAAAGAATCCAAGTAGTTCTCTTTATAAAGTTAATTCCATTGCTTTTGAGATAATTGCTATTAATTTCTTCTCGAAATTAGCATAAGCTCATTGCCATGGTTCATTGTCTTCCCATAACTTTTTAATTTCATCAGTAGCAAAAGGCACTATCATCTCTGCTGGGTTTATTCCTGCTAGTTGACAAAGTCTCAATTTTCCTTTTATAACTAACTCAGAGACTTTTTCCACATAAGTTTTTAATTTTTTCACTTGGTTTATGTGTTAAAAAGATCCATTCTAATATAATATGTTCCCTCTGTATTAAAATTCCTGTAGGGGAAATTCTGGAAGGCAGTATGACTAGAATACAATTAAGATCCTGTAATTTCTCTTCAGTGACCATCAATTCTTTTTCTGCATCAGCTGTTAATTTCCTGGTACTATTTAAGTCTTTGTCACCATTTAAGGTTTTGTTTAAATGAATTATTAGATCAGGTGTTATCCCAACAGCTGGACACAGACTGGAAATGTCTCCTAACAATCTTTGAAAGTTATTAAGACACCACAATCGGTCTCTTTTAATTTGTGCCTTTTGTATTCTAATTTTCTGTAAAACTATTTTATAACCTAAGTAATTGACAGAATTTCCTCTTTGTATTTTTTCAGGAGAGTTTGTAATCCCCATTTAGGCAAAACTTTCTTTACTTCTTCAAACATGCTTTCTAAAGTATCTGCATTTGAATCAGATAACAAAATGCCATCCATGTAATGGTAAATTATAGACATTGTTTACATATTATTTCCAATGGCTGACTTACAAAGTATTGGCACAGGGTAGGGCTATTGAGGATTCCTTG